TAACAGAATAATAATAATAATAATAATGTGCTTTTACTATTTGAAAATATATTGGTTTTATACTTGTCATTCATTTTCTTATTTGAGAAAAGTTTCAAATGTCTGAATGTTCAATATGTTTTTTTCTGATTCTCATATATCATTATTAAATTTTCAATCTGTCCATTTCACAAGATATTCTGAAGGTTTGTTTTTTCATTGTCATTTTTTAAAAATTTTTTTCATTTGATATTCTTCTTCTTCATTGTTGATAAGTTCTGATTTTGATTCTGATAAAGCTTCATTTCTATGGTTGTATAGCTTCAATAAAGATATATGAAATACAGAATGAATGTTTTTATATGAAAATGACAATTTCGATTTATATACTTGTTTTTTGATGATATTCAGAATTTTGAAAGATTCAATATATTTATGATCAAGTTTATAAACCAGACATAGCAATTGAAGGTTTTTTGTATTGAGTATGATATAATCATTTATTTTAAATTATTGAAGTTTATATTTTGCATTGTAGTAAATTTTCTGTGTTTATTACATCTTTTGTAAATTCTCAATAAGCTTGTGACATATTTCCTTGATATATTTCGCATAGCTAGCAGCATATATGGCAACCGGTTGTGATGATTTGCTGATATTAATTTTTAAATCAAATTGATATCTTATTAAAACTTCTGCAAATGCTATTTCAGTTGAAGCATGTTGAAAATATTGTAAACAGACTGCACTAACAATAATCAATGTGCTCAGTCATTTTGATGATAATTGATAAAGCATCAGAGATAATGTTTCAAGATTTGATTCTGTCATTCTGTCTGATCATCTGTTTGAGAATGAAAGGCTGTTGAAAGTTTCCAGCATGCATCTAGCATGTAACAAAAGATGGTTCAATAATGACTTGTAAACAGCAATTCTCAATCAGATATATGATTTTTAGATACTTTGTAAATTGTATAAAACTTGATATAAATGATTTCCACTAGTTCATCAGCTGTAATGTTTTTGATGAAAGGAATATAGATTGTGAACTTGATATATATATTTACAATCACTAAAATCACATTGTAGGTTTGATGGAGGAATGTAGAGGCTGGCAAATTTAATAATAAAATCTATAATAGTAGATTTCAGAAATTGTTCATAATATATTTTCAGCAACAATTATATTTTTTTTTATTTTCTCTCTTTATTCAACAGTAAAAAAATTATTTTTTTATACTTTATTTAGAAATAAAATGAAGAATTCAGACATTTCTGTATATGCTGAGTCTTATTTTATCGACCGCAATTCAGAGCATATATTGCTCAACATATAATAAAGAAGAAGAGTTTATATGAGAGATAGAAGATGTTAATATATGAAGCACTTTTCACTCATTAAAAAAAACATTTTAGTCATTAGAAATCTGTGCACAGACTATATTAGAAAAAATATCATTTTGAAAAGAAGTATCAGTTTTTTAATTTAACTTCATGTTTTAGCTTCTATTGCAGAGTAGATAATATAATTTGATTATTATAAACTTCACTGTAATCTGCATGATGACTGAGCTCATCAGCTAAATTCTAATTCAGAATGATGTAATAATATAAAATTATAAACAAATAAAGCTTTCATTCATCTGTTCTGATATCTGTTCAATTTTTTAATCATCATAAAATACTGTAGATTGGTATGATCAGATCAGATTTGAATTGAATACTGATTTCTCTTCAAATAATGTCTTCAATTTTAAATACTGTTATAATAATTAAAAGTATATCATAATGTATTTCCACATCAATCAACTTTCTTGATCAGAAGACAACTGAATGTCAGTGTCTGTCATTTTGCAATTGTGACAGAATAACAACAATTGTAAAAGTGGATGCATCAGATTCAATCTGAATATACTGAGATGAGTCAAAATGAGTTGATAAAAAAGCATGTATAAAGTGTGATTTGAGCTCATTGAAAGCATTTTAATCATCTTTCATTCACATGAAAGTGACTTTTCTTTCCCCTTTCTTGCTCCCTTCTGTAAGTTCGAATAATGAGGCTGCAATGGAGGAGAAAGACTTAATAAAGTGCTGATAGAAATTAGCAAAGTTCAAAAAGAATTGAACCTTTTTAATTGATTTAGATGTAGATCATTTCACAATAGTGAAGACTTACTTTGTTTGACTCCATCTTAACATCATTTATATCTATGACAAACCCCAGAAATGAGATCTTGTTCATTTCAAATTCATATTTAGAGAGTTTTGCAAATAGATTCACATGCTTGAGACATTCTAACATCTTAGTAATATAGACTTTATATTTCTGCTTTGAATTGGAGAATATGAGAATGTCATCCAAGTAGACAACACAACATATATTCAACAAATCAGACAAGACATTGTTAATGTATGCTTGAAATATCATTGAATTATTATTATTATTATTCTTCCATTATAGATGTATGCAGTCAGTGACTATGACATCTACCTGAGATACTCCAGGACTTTTCAACTTAAGAATAAGCTAATATACAAAGTCAATTTAATACATGCA